TAAAAAAGTAACGGAAAAGTAACGAAAAGTTATTTTTCAAGTAACGGTAACTGTAACGAGTTACTTTTAAAAAGCGATAACTGTAACTGTAACTAGTTACATTTTTTACTCGGTAACGAGTAACTGTAACTAGTTACTTTTAAAAAGTAACTTTCCATTCCCTGCATATATATGACGTCAATGTAACATCTAGTTGACGTCATATCGGTGACGTCAACTTTTGGTATTACAAATGACATCAAAATAACGTTCCATTTATGTCACTTGACGGCATTGTCATAAAAATCACTTCATAATCACGTCATTATCACGTGAGCTTGCTAGCTGGGTTAATGCATTAAGAATATAAATTATTATATATTATGAATTACATTTCCACATTTTCCTGTCCAAAGATACATATAGGGGATAAGAAGTGGTCAATTACTTATTATTGTATTGTAAATGTTACTAGTAATAGGCTGAGTTTAGAATGATAGAAAAGGCTATATATGTGTATATATGGGTCATGAATGGATTAAGATTTATTGTAAATCAAGTCTCTTTCTTGGCTATTTTTGTAAAGTTGAAGAGAAGTAAAATAAAATTCTTCTTCATTTCCACATTTTCCAATTAAATAATTCAACAGTATGTATATATATATAATATATATGTGTGACAAAATTATGAACTTTACCCCCGTATTCATAGTCAGACCTTATACTTAAAGGCTTCCTTAAATTTATCTTTAGATACTCAGTAGCCAATAAAATAATTCGTAGATCATCTGAAGATAAATTTAAGGAAGCCTTAAGTATAAGGTCTGACTATGAATACGGGGGTTAGACAATAAATACAACATACATTCTAGTAAAGAAATCAGACATTCCCCTTACCCCATCACTCACTAAACAACTTTATTAACGTTAACTTGAAGTTTATTTTTAAATGAGCAAAAGTACATTTTCAAAAATTGTATTTACACGATTCACAATTATGTAACTATAACCTCAGAAAAATATACAAACTTGATCAATAAAAAATAGTATGTTACAGATATAAACCATCATTGCGTTAGCCCATTTACGAACAATAATCTAAAAAAAAGCTAATAAAAGGTCTATTTTCTGTAGCTGAACTAGTGTACTGTTGGAACTTATAATAAGACAGATATATATTTGATATTTGTTGAAAGCGAGAAAGAGTTCTAGTGCAGTCTAGTGCAGAAACAGATAATAGACCAAAGATAAACCTAATCTCCCTTTCTTATTTCTAAAATGTGATATCACCTTTAAAATTTTAATTTATACGATTACGTAATATCGACAGATTTAATCAAAATTGTAATATTCTATGTATAAAAAGATAATTCTTTTTTTTGAAATATCTTTATAAATATCCTAATATATATATATATATATTTAATAGATATGCTGTGACTTAATAGTGGTATTTTGCAAATTGTAAAATTCGACTAACCTGAATGTAGTCGTAATAATATGGAAAACAGTTATTAACGACTATTTTATGCTATTTGAAGTAGGTACAGAACGATCATTTAGCTTAGTTATGTTCAACTTTTTAGTTAATGGCTCCTGCCTCCTTGGACCGAGTAAGCGGAGGCAATACGGCCAGATCACGTCTTATAATAAATGTTGCAGGAATTTAGTAGATATACAGATAAACTTCAACTGATATTGGCGCAATGGTCACGTAAAAAAGACTGGTCACAGTATATACAGTAGCGCAACTCTCTGTCGGCATCTTTGATGTTACCGTAGCTAAAAATGAACTGCACATGCGCGACCGAGGCGCGTAACCAATCAGGGCACTGTATTCTATCTCACTTCTGCTCTCTGTTTATAACCTTTTCTCTCTTTCTAATTTATGTTCTAACAATGTCCTAACCTAATTTGCACATTTGAACATTTTTAATACGCGTACTAACAAGTAACTTTTATAAAATTATCTTAATTTATTCCATTATTCACAGCGAATACAGAAAATCTACAGTTCTCGTTTACACTATATAGATTTTTAATACTCACAGTGAAAAACGAGACGCATTTGAAAGAGAAAATGAAATAAAAATTAAACATATATGATGCACATTTACTTCTTAACACTATGGGTGCTTTCCAGCAAGGACAGAATCAGACACTGTGTAACACAGAGAATCATTTCATTCTCGTTTAACGTAGGCAAACAACAGGGATGCAATGATTCACTGTGTTACACAGTGTCTACTTGTGTCGTAGCTGGAAAGCAGCCTATATTTTGCAATTAAATATACACACAAAATATATTATTATTAATTAATTGTAGTATAGCAATATTCTATGTATAGCATATATATACGCAATTAGAACAAGAAGTCACAATAAAGTCAAAATGACATTAAAATGATTGAAAAATGACTTTTAATGATCATTTTGTAATAATTTTGACATTATTTTGATACAATGATGACTTATTTTGCTCGGATATATAATTAATGTGGTATTTCATTATTTTTGAAATATCATATGGCTCGAATAAAATTACTTATATTTATTATATTTTTTTCATATTGAATATAGTAACCGCAGATATTAGGAAATGCAAGAATACTCTCTCTCTCTCTTTCTCTCTCATAATTTTGTAATTTAACTTTTTTATTTACAATGACAATTATATTATATTATATACTACAGTCAGTATCAATTAAAAAGTTGCAACAGTTTTTTTCAAATGGTTTTCAGAATGTAACCTACTCATCGAGTAATTGATTCTTATTTATAAATAACACATTTCTTCCGCTTTTTAAAATCTCTCCAAATATCTGTAACAGAAAGCTAAGATCAAAGTGCTTCAAGAGAATCTGAAATCTGTACTATTTTTGTACAGATAACCTATTCTCCGTAAAGCTAACTCGGTCTACGCTCTCTGTTTTTTTACACTTTCTGAAAACACGTCTGAATACACTGAATAATTATTATAATTAAACACGTATCACTTATCACTTTATCACACGTAGCACTATTCTCACTGTTTTTCACATAAAATTCGTCGCGTTCCCGCTACTTTCCGTTAAATTGTCCTTTAAATGCCTTATTTGGACATTTCAATGGGACTGACAGACACCGACAATAGAAAGAAGAAGTGAGATAAAATATCTATTGCCCTGATTGGTTACGCGCCTCGGTCGCGCATGTGCAGTTCATTTTTAGCTACGGTGAAATCATGAGAGTTGCGCTACTGTATATACTGTGGACTGGTTCTAGTCTTCTTGGGTCACGTTCAGCATAGTGACCCTATTACAGGGTCACTAGTTCAGCAGACTCAACTGTTGCGGAGCGGGTCCGTGAGCATTCGCTGCTATTGGTATATTCTTTTAGATCATCCAATAGCAGCGAGCGCTCACGGATCCGCTCCGCAACAGTTGAGTCTGCTGAACGCGACCAATGACACAGTAGCCCTGTTCTTTTTCTCTGCACTGTGTCGGGTGCCCACAGTGCAATAAGTTGAAGTGAAATAGATATACGTTTGTTTCACTTCAACTTATTGCAGTGTCTGAAATGGTGCAGACAGTGCAGGCAAAAAGAACAAGCTTAGTATATCCAATAGCGCAACTCTCCTGATTTTATGGCTGCGGTCGAGTTGCCACTACGAATGCTTTGAAGCGTTTGATTGACCAATCAAAAGAAAGAGTTACACAAACTGACCAATCAAGAAACGCTTCAAAGCATTCATAGTGGCAACTCGACCGCAGCCTATGAGCCCCAACACACACTTTTGCATAACGCATAAAGCATATGCATAAGGAATTTCATTGGCCCATTTTCTTATGCATGAGTCAATAGACCAATCAAATTCTTTATGTATATGGTTTATGCGTTATGCAAAAGTGTGTGCTCCCCGCTTTATTCTCTATTCTCTGTTCCTTTTATTCTGCGCATCCCTAATGGCTCCCGCAGACAGAAAGCGGAAACGCTTGCCGCGCGGCGGAAGTTGACACGATAACCAATCAATATCTTGCTGGCGAGACGCTGATTGGCTATTGCGGCAACTTCCGCCGCGCGGCAAGCGTTGTCGCGTTCTGCTGCGGGAGCCATAAGGCTAATTCTACAATGTGCTTTTTGTTTCCTGTTTCTTGCTGTTTATCTCTGTTTGTCTCTTGGCTTTTTGATCTTGAAGGCAAGAGACAAACAACAAGAAACAGGAAACAAAAAGCACATTCTAAAATTAGCCTAAGAATTTCAACCTATCAGAAATCATATACTTTGGAATATTAGTTGCGTTCCGTAAAGCGCATATGCACGCAATATGCATGCATTTTATATAGTGTGTGTCACGTATACTATAGGGGAATGCGCGCATATGCGCTTTGCGGAAAACAGCCATTATATATACTATGGACTGTATATACTATGTATACATATGTATATACATATATACTATGGATACTGTTTATTCCACAGTATATAATTTCTGATAGGTTGAAATTCTTATTCTCTGTTCTTTTTATTCTGCGTAACCCCTAATACATTTTTTCCACTGTATACATACATATTACATATAGAACGTAGTAAACGCATGCTGCAGAGTAGCGGTAGTAGAGCAAAACAAAATATATACTCAATGTGAGAGAGAAAGAAAGAGGAACGCTCTTGTTTGTGATGTGTGTAATTGGACGCTGCGTTCCTCTACATTGCATTAAAAAGCAGCATCAAAGGATGCGCGTATATATCTAGGTATTGCGATATCCAAGTTCCGTGTGATAAACGGGTGAAGAAGGTGGCCACCATCGTCGCCACCGTCGCCGCCGTTGCTGCCGTCGTCAATCATACGGCGGTGTTGAAGTACGCGAGCGCAGCTGAGTGCTGCAAGCTGGCAGCCGTGAGTATTGCGCATCCGGACGAAACCGACGCGATTAGGATTGACAAGATCATCATGACGGACACGGCGTCTGCCGCTGCCGCTGCCGCTACGGCTGACACGCAAAAGCGGGCCAACTTTTCGGCGTTGACAGTCGGTAATCCGAACGGCGTCAGCAAAATCTCGCCGAGCCTTGCGAACGCAAAACCAGGTTCCGCGAAGAAGCTTGTCATCAAGAACTTTAGAAGTAAGTTACCGGATGCAGCACACAAACCAATCATAACCTAACCTCAAACATCAGCTGCTTCATCTTCCGAGAACAACGAGCCCCAGAATATTTCGACTTTTCTTTTTTGTCGTTTGTTTCTTTTTGTTTTTTTTTTTCTTTTGGCACAAATCAAATTTTTTAGACCATATTTCGCGGGTTTAGACATTCTTGCGTTATACTTAATGAAGCCACACATAACCTTAGTTGTAGATTGAAATAATTCGATAGATCGGTTTCCTTTTTTTATGTATCTCAAATCACGCAGTTAATTGTAATTAACTGCGTGATTCGACGCGATTCACATGAAAAACGTTGACGCGTTAAATGTCTATTTATAGATGATTGTTGCAATAATGTTACAATGCAAGAATCTATAAATGGACACTTAAGTTTGACTTGACATTTCGCCTTTCTTGCATTTATGTAGATCATGCATTATAATATGAAATAACTGCTGTTTGTTTAATTTGTAAATAGTGTAAAAAGTATTATCTTAAAATTATATACAATTAAATAAATTAAATTTTTTATATTATACATGTATATTGTGTATAATTTTTATTATGTATATACATGCTTTTATATATTATTATGTAAGATTATTTTTATTAACTTTGAAGGAATTAGCATATGAGAAGTTTAACTGTAGGAAATTCTACTCAAAAAGTTTCTGAAGAAATATTGGAAATATACCAAGTTTTATTCCGTTACTATTTATTCTGTAATATGATAACTTTTTTTTCATAGATAAACCTAAATTACCAGAAAATTATCAAGAAGAGACATGGGAAAAATTACAGGAGGCTGTGGTTGCCATACAAACCAGCAAAAGTATCCGCTATTCTCTGGAAGAACTGTATCAGGCAGTTGAAAATATGTGTAATCATAAAATGGCATCGACACTTTATTCAAATTTAACTATTCTGACGGAATCTCATGTAAAAGCTAATATTGAGCAGTTTTTGGCAGAATCTATGGATAGACATATATTTTTGAAGAAGATGAACGAATGCTGGCAATCTCATTGCAGACAAATGATTATGATTAGAAGCATCTTTCTATATCTTGATAGGACATATGTTTTACAAAATCCGAGCATTTCATCGATATGGTAATAAAGCTAAAATATGAGTGATAAATAAATCATAATTAATTAATTATGCATACATTTTATTTGATTTCTTCTTTCAGGGATATGGGATTGCATTTATTCAGATTACACATTGTGTTAAATAGTTTAGTACAAACGCGTACCGTTGAAGGTCTCCTTATGCTCATAGAAAAGGAACGACAAGGCGATACTGTAGATAGAACGCTTCTCAAATCACTGTTGAGAATGTTGTCAGATCTACAAATCTACCAAGAGGCTTTCGAAACGAAGTATGTTGTGATAAAGGACCTCGCACGTTTCTTATGGAAAAGTACTTTCGGTCAAAATGGCTGAAAATTTAGTATGTTGTGGTTTATGGTGTCCTGATGAAAAATCTCAATGGGCACGTGGTCCTAAAATCAACAGGTTCTGAGATATTAGAGCTCAAATGCGACATCGGCCTCATATCGATTATTATGAAAAGGATAAAAGTGCATAAAAAGGGAGGCTAGAGCTATGATATTAACCTTGATATATTTTGTCAAGGTCATGACCCTGAGTGATCTCCAACAAATTTTAGCCGTCGCTATTCGTTAAGAACTTATTAACAAAAAAATTCTTCAATAAAACCTAACTGTTGGACATGCTTGTTGCACGTGTTTGACTTCCCACGCGAAGCAAGGCCCATCCCACACCAACAAATGGATTGGGTTAGGTTATTTTTAACAGTAGTGGAGCCCCCCGCGGAGAGGGGGCGGCAGAACCTACTGTATTCATGCATTTACTTTACAACATAAGGTGACATGGAAGTTACGAGCTTCTTCGCAGAGGAAGAGGTGGGGTGAGAGTCGCTTCGCGTGAATGCAATAGGTTTCGCCCCCCCCCCTGCGGAGGGGCTTCACTACTGTTAAAAAGAATAGTGTGGACAATGAACACCCATAGTATTAACTATTGATAGTATACAATAGTCCAGACTATTGAGTCTGAATATCTCCAAAATTATAGTCCGCCACCTAGTTGTTAAGGCAAAGTTGCTCAGAATCATGACCTTGACAACATATGTCAAATGAAATAAGGTCAAGGTCATCGGAACTGGGTCCCCTAAAGTAAATAATTACCATCCTTTTTTGTTAATAACTTCTTAACGAATAGCGAACGACGGCTAAAACTTGTTGGAGGTCACTCAGGGTCATGACCTTGACAACATATGTCAAGGTCATAACGCTGGTCTCCCTTTTTATGCACTTTTACCATAAAAAGTAACATATTGCTATGTTGCCTTCTAATGTACAGTATAAATATTTCATTGGTATATAAAAAAACATATTTTTATTGTCTAGAATATATATTTATTATCTTCATAACGCAACATCTATACAATATCAAAGTAAAAAGTTCATTAAGAGGTTCAGGGTATGAGGAATACATGTATCTATGGCTGTGTTCCAAAATTGACTGCCAGTACTAAAAATCTATAGTTTATGTCACGAATACTATGGTTTTCAATACTGGCAGTCAATTTTGGAACACAGCCTACGTCAAACGAGAATTGTTAACGTAGGGTCGTTAAAGGTTTGTTTTGTTTTGGCTGTTAATCTTTTGTTTTCGTTTTCATTCGGTTTTGAATCGCATTCGACATATTGTTGTTTTCGACGATCTACAAATAATAATAAATAAGCACTGGATTCTATTGTTATTAAACCTTGTGGAAAGTAAAAACATGTTTTTTTATATACCAATGAAATATTTATACTGTATATTAGAAGGCAACATAGCAATATGTTACTTTTCATAATAATCGATATGAGGCCAATGTCGCCTTTGAGCTCCAATATCCCAGAACCTGTTGATTTTAGGACCACGTGCCCATTGAGACTTTTCATCAGGACACCATGAACTATAACATACTAAATTTTCAGCTATTTTGACCGAAAGTACTTTTCCATAAGAAACGTGCGGGGTTCTTTAACGTGTATCGTCAGTTGATTGTCCCCTGTATACAGTAATATTAATTATCAATAACAAGTTGATATAACTTTATAAATAATGTATTTAATCTATTTTATCATATTGTTTGCCGCTGTGAATATTTTGATATATGGATATTTTATTATATAAGTCTTTTATTTAGGTTTTTAGTGGCTACAGAAAGATTGTATGCTGCCGAAGGTTTACGATTGATGAACGAACACGATGTTCCTGAATATTTAGCTCATGTGGATAAGCGTTTGCAAGAGGAGAACGAACGGCTGTTGCATTATCTTGATACATCAACTAAGTAAGTTATTTTTATTACTAATGTACATGAGATTATGCATACCAAATACGACTCATTGTCAGTAATTAAATAGAACATCATTACATACAATTTCATAAAATTAATTATACTTTCAGATGGTCACTCATACATACTGTAGAAAAACAATTATTGTCCGAACATATTACTAGTATTTTACAGAAAGGCTTAAGTGGGTTGTTGGATGAAAATAGAATTAGCGATTTATCATTACTTTACAACTTATACAGTCGGATAAAAAATGGCCTTGTAGAGCTATGTTTGAATTTTAATTGTTATATCAAAGTACGTTTTTGTTATATTAACAATTTTATTTTACATACGTAATGAGCAAATTTCTATAATATATCATTTTTTTTTATATCTTTTTAGAAAAAAGGCAAAACGATAGTTATAGATCCCGAAAAAGATAAAACGATGGTACAGGAACTTTTAGATTTCAAAGATAAAATGGATAATATAGTTAATACATGCTTTCATAAAAATGAAAAATTTGCAAACAGCTTGAAAGAAGCTTTCGAGGCTTTTATTAATCAAAGAGCAAACAAACCAGCAGAATTAATAGGTAATCCATATACAATATATTAATGTAATAATATTACTCGCCATCAGAGGTCTATCGATATTCATAAATTCTCGCAAATGCTAAGACACGCGTATATCTCTTTATATAGAATCTCGATTTAATAACTTACCAAGGCGTATAAGGTAGGCTTCCACTACAATGCCTTACTGATGAGTCCAGTAGTGGAAGCCGGGACGAAACACCAAAAATTATGTGATATTCTTCGCAATATATAATATTAGAATAAATTATCAGATTTAGATTTCAAATTTTAATTTGACTCTTATTCGCCCTATTTAACGTGTTAATTATTATTAAATAAAAGAGTCCTTCAAATCTTCAATTCATTTGTAATAATATTAACTGTAAACAATAAAAGACAATATAGATAATTATTTAAGAAATTCTCAGTCATATTGTTAATCTAAAAGCATTCTTTTTTAAACTTGAAAACATACTAAAACAGATTAAAAACACTATATTTATGATTTCAGCTAAATTTGTTGATTGTAAGCTAAGGGCAGGTAATAAAGAAGCGACAGAAGAGGAATTAGAGAGATTATTAGATAAGATTATGGTACTCTTCCGATTTATTCATGGAAAGGATGTTTTCGAAGCGTTTTATAAGAAGGATTTAGCCAAACGTTTGTTAGTGGGAAAGTCGGCTTCTGTAGACGCTGAAAAGTCAATGTTATCTAAATTAAAACAAGAATGTGGTGGTGGTTTTACTAGTAAATTGGAAGGAATGTTTAAAGATATGGAACTTAGTAAAGATATTAATATTGCATTCAAACAGGTATGGAAAGTAATCATTTGTACATTATGAGATTTGTATTATATACACATTTACATATGCAGACGCATTAAACTTAATTTGTAATTTGTAAAATACTTTATATTTAGTACAAAACATATAGAATACTCATAAATATGATCTGATAAAGCTCCCAAACTGCAGCGATAAACAGGCATTTCAGATAACAAATTATATTTTATGCAGAGTTGGTAAAGACTAATAGTTTTTTTTTAACATGCTTTTAATGCTAAACATATTTTAAATAGTATTATAAAAAATATGTTTAAAAGATGTTAAAAACATCGATTAAGTATATTTTAAACTGTTTAAAATATGTTTTTTTATCAACCCTAATTTTATCTTATCAAAGTAGTTATGACATAAATACATTTTTCTCACACACTTTGATAGAAAGCTTCAAAACTTTAAAATTTTATCTCTAATTGGAATGCTACTCAGAGCACTCATATTTTTCTGAATTCTTAATGTTTATCTTTCATGATGTTTTTGAACTTAGCAGCTAACATCAAAAATAAATATTTTCAAGACATCGAGGACATGCAAAGAAATGTAATGAGTGCTTTAAACAGCATTTCAACTGCGGACTTAAAAAATATTTACTTTATATAAAAGATGTATAAAGTATGTTGATTATGGAGGACTACTTTGAAAGATAATTTAACACAAATAGAAAGAATGCCTTTCAAAACATTGGTTTTGGTGCTTCGTAATACTCATGTAAATATACAAATATAAATTTCAGTTCTATATACTGCGCATTATTTGTCGGAAATACAATCATAAACTGAAATAATAATTTCACAATTACAATGCAATTTAACAACAATGCGACTGAAAACTATATTTGTATAGTCACATATGAATACATTAAGCACCAAAACTCGCTTTGATTAAAAAAAAAAACATTTTTCTCTCCTATTTGTGTTTAAATATTTCTTGGTCTATTTCACTTAATAAAATATTAAATTTTATTACTTGACATATCTGCGTTTATTGCTGAAGTGCGGGAACTTTATCAGATCATGTAAATTTGTTCATAATTTAAACATTAAGTTTACAGAGTGTATTATTTTAAATATTTATTATGTTTTCAGTATGCAGGAAACTTACAGAGTGAATTAGTGGCAAATAACCTAGATCTAACTGTATCTATACTTACTATGGGATATTGGCCTACATATCCAGTGATGGAAGTCACTCTACCGATGGAGATGGTACAGTATCAAGACGTGTTTAATAAATTTTATTTAGGAAAACACAGCGGTAGAAAATTGCAGTGGCAACCGACCTTAGGACACTGCGTTTTGAAAGCATGGTTTAACCAGGTATTGAATAAAGCGATACTTCTTATATATAATATAATATATAATTATTAATTAATTAAATTAAACAAATATTTTTTATATGAAAATAGGGCAATAAAGAGCTGCAGGTATCATTGTTCCAAGCATTGGTTTTAATTTTATTTAATGATAGTGATAACCTTTCGTTAGAAGATATTAAAACCGCTACAAATATCGAAGACGGTGAACTAAGAAGAACACTGCAGTCCTTGGCATGTGGAAAAGCTCGTGTTCTTCAAAAGAATCCGCGTGGTCGGGATGTTGCCGATAATGATAGATTCGTTTTTAACGCAGAATTCACAAACAAACTGTTCAGAATTAAGATCAATCAAATCCAAATGAAAGAAACGGTACTTGCCATTTAATAATCCAATATATTTTATCTTTTTATTTTGTACATATGTTTGTATAAAAAATTACATTATTTAATAGTAGAGTTTAATATTCTTATAGATATAGATGTATGGAATTTTTTCAGAATGAAGAACAAAAAGCAACAGAAGAAAGAGTATATCAAGACAGACAATATCAAATAGACGCTGCTATTGTTAGAATTATGAAAATGAGAAAAACTTTGACCCATAATCTTCTCATCAGTGAATTGTATAATCAATTGAAGTTTCCTGTAAAGGTATATATATTTGTGTAGCATTTTTTTAATGTAAAAAACGAGAGTTTAAGGTCAAATACTATCGTTTTGTTCTCAATCTAAAATATTATGCATGCTATTATTAAAAATATAATATTTATATAAAGTTTAAAAATATAAATAATATTTACATTTTTATAAACTTTATTTATATAACCAATACACATGCTTAAATGTGAAATCTAAATAAGTAATGTGTGGAATCCTAATTTGTAACTACTGTCTTGAATGTGCAATGCAGTATTTATTTTTTATATCAGTTCACAGAATATGTATCCTTTTTCAGCCAGCAGATTTGAAAAAGCGGATTGAGTCTCTTATAGATAGAGACTATATGGAGCGAGACAAAGACAACGCAAATCAATACAATTATGTTGCGTAACCTAAAGCAAATGCCAAAGTTATATTGACTTATAAAATTGACGCTAATTTTTCTAGCAAATTCAATCTATCACAATTGGTGTTTGTCCATCGTGAATGTGAACGAGTTCAAACGAGAGATTATATAATCAATCCGACTGTTCAGATAAAGTTATAATGTGTGTGATCGAAGGAAAAAGACTTGGTTCAGTGAATTTCCCTGTTTGGAGCTGCAGGTATCATTGTTCCAAGCATTGGTTTTAATTTTATTTAATGATAGTGATAACCTTTCGTTAGAAGATATTAAAACCGCTACAAATATCGAAGACGGTGAACTAAGAAGAACACTGCAGTCCTTGGCATGTGGAAAAGCTCGTGTTCTTCAAAAGAATCCGCGTGGTCGGGATGTTGCCGATAATGATAGATTCGTTTTTAACGCAGAATTCACAAACAAACTGTTCAGAATTAAGATCAATCAAATCCAAATGAAAGAAACGGTACTTGCCATTTAATAATCCAATATATTTTATCTTTTTATTTTGTACATATGTTTGTATAAAAAATTACATTATTTAATAGTAGAGTTTAATATTCTTATAGATATAGATGTATGGAATTTTTTCAGAATGAAGAACAAAAAGCAACAGAAGAAAGAGTATATCAAGACAGACAATATCAAATAGACGCTGCTATTGTTAGAATTATGAAAATGAGAAAAACTTTGACCCATAATCTTCTCATCAGTGAATTGTATAATCAATTGAAGTTTCCTGTAAAGGTATATATATTTGTGTAGCATTTTTTTAATGTAAAAAACGAGAGTTTAAGGTCAAATACTATCGTTTTGTTCTCAATCTAAAATATTATGCATGCTATTATTAAAAATATAATATTTATATAAAGTTTAAAAATATAAATAATATTTACATTTTTATAAACTTTATTTATATAACCAATACACATGCTTAAATGTGAAATCTAAATAAGTAATGTGTGGAATCCTAATTTGTAACTACTGTCTTGAATGTGCAATGCAGTATTTATTTTTTATATCAGTTCACAGAATATGTATCCTTTTTCAGCCAGCAGATTTGAAAAAGCGGATTGAGTCTCTTATAGATAGAGACTATATGGAGCGAGACAAAGACAACGCAAATCAATACAATTATGTTGCGTAACCTAAAGCAAATGCCAAAGTTATATTGACTTATAAAATTGACGCTAATTTTTCTAGCAAATTCAATCTATCACAATTGGTGTTTGTCCATCGTGAATGTGAACGAGTTCAAACGAGAGATTATATAATCAATCCGACTGTTCAGATAAAGTTATAATGTGTGTGATCGAAGGAAAAAGACTTGGTTCAGTGAATTTCCCTGTTTGGTTTTTAGTGTGCAAGAGACATTGAACGGTTAGAATCCTTTTTTAACCAGTGTTCCGAGTTTGCGAAATAAGATAAAAAGGACATAATGATAGGCAAAAGAAGCTTGATGTAATGTCCTAGAATATAACAATTTTTTATGCAACACAATTTTTCACAGCTACTTACGATTAAGAGGATGTAATAAAGAATGGAAAAATGTATACATACTGTGACACTATCATAAAAATAGAAAATAAGAGTGCAATCGCAATATAATTAGTTAATTCAAAAACTGAACAACACATAGTACAGTATTTATAACAAAAATAAAAGAGCGTCTACTATACGCGCGCGCGTACACACACACACACTCACACCTACGCACCAACCACACATCGTGGTACTTATCTTTGAAATCTGCAAATTATTTGTACTACTTCTTCACTTTTCTTCATGTTTCTAAAATTTTCAACATTTTAATTATTCTTTGGAATTATATATATAGATAAAAATAATAGAAATTCAAATATGTTGCATCTCTATGTTAGACAAAATATGCAAAAGAAATGTCTAGTTTATCTTGAATCAAAGTTTTAACTATACAACGGTGAGATTAACAACAGATTAAAATAAATAAAATGTCATTAAGTACGAAACTACATGATAAATATATGAATCGTAATTGTTATTAAAAAATATATATATATTCATATGTATATATATATTCATATAAACATACATTCATTCACACACACACACACACACACACACACACACCATTACTCAAAAAAAATGTTAGAAATTACATGAGAGTAAATGATTATTCATGATCATGACTTGTTAAACATTTCATGTCCATGTATCTATAAACTAGATTAGTAAATAATATACTTTTATCAAAACGTTTACATACTGACAGAGAATATTCAACTTATTTCGATGAGAGTACTCACTGAGTTTTAACATAAATCTGTGAAACCTCAACACAAATGCAGTTAAGTAATGTAAATGCATACCGAAAGACTATTAGTAATTTTTTTAATTAAGAGAAGATAGTACTGCCAGCAAAACAGCGTTTGTTGCGCTCCCTCTAACAAGAGAAGATTGTAGCTTCACGTTGCCATGTACAGATTTAGGAATAACCTCAGGAAGTGAAGGTAGAGTATAACTTAATATCTTCTCACACATAAATTATTTTATACTACGTTTCAATTCTATATACGACACTACAAAACTTATTTTTTTGTAATAATTCATAGATCTACTGAAACTGTACATAGAGAGTAAGGGGTTCTGTACTTATAATAAAAAATACAATCAAGAAGAAAATAATTAACGAAATTAATTAATTTTAGAATAATATCATATTTATCATTTTTGCAACATGCAATTTTTATTTATAGAATAAAATGTAAAGGAATTTATATACAAAAATGTCTACATTTTTTTTACTGTATAATTTTTCATTTAATTACATAAATTTATTTAATAATCTGATGATTTCTCTACCTCTTTTAATAAAAAAATTCTATCTTAATTTCTAAAAATTAAGATATATAAATGAAACATGTTCTCTAATTAATTTAAAAGTTATGATACTGAAAATTAAAAAGTTGCAACAATGATCTGATGATTTTGATAAGAAAAAAAATTTATAGTAGTGTACAAATCTGTCATTAAAAATAAAAGCAAAATATTCTCTATATGTTACTTTTCAGAAATAAGATACACATTTCAATAATTACTCTTTTTCTTATAAAAACATATTCTATATATTTTATTAAGGAATATTCTATATATTTTTATAAGGAATTTGTTACAATGTTATAATACTTATTAAAACATTAGTGATATACATATTTGTACAAGAAAAATTTATATCATTAAATTATTTTATTGTTTGCACATGTAGATTTTTCATATCAACTTCGTTTATTAATGATTTTGCAAACGTAACGGCATTAGCTTCTTTATTTAAGAAATCCGACACCAACAATGATGCCGGTTTACCGCCTCCATGCGCCAAACATTCTCTTCGATAACGATTACCCGCTGATCGACTGAAAGGGTCATTGTGAAAGTAGGTTTGCCAAATCCACGCGGCAATTGCACGAGATATTAAATAAGAATAATATTTTGCACCGTATCCGACCAAATGAGAAAATCTCAATTGCCATGCCTATAAGAGATCAATTGTAGTATTAAAAGTTACATACTATAATTAAAACTTAAAACTTAATTCATTATTTAATTTCATTATTGCAAAATACATCACAACTGTTTAATTATTTGCTCAACTTTTTACACATATTTTTTTAATTTATTTATATATTTAATAAAAAGAATCTTCTATCTTAATTTTTAAAAATTAATATATTAGTAAAACATCCTCTAATTAAATTTAACATTTTATAATGGCATTAAATTTTAATTGGAAATCTAGTTATTAAAAATTAAAAAATCACAACAATTTGATGATTTTGGTCAAATTCCACTAATATATAAGATTAACTTGATCTCGGTCCAATTTATTCTATCTTTTTTTAATTGGAAAATAGAAAAAAATAAATAGTAAATTGAACTGAGATTAATCTTTTTTTGATGGAACTAGGTTTTAATATTATCTATTTTTCTTAATAATAATAAATGACAAAAATCTGTATTTCATAATGCAAAAAATTAATGAAAATATATACCGTATTTTGCACATATGGAAGGCCATAATATTCTTTCTGTACATCTTTTAAAATCTCAGTTGTAGATTTTGTTAATTTACCACTATGATATACTTGATCCAACATACTATAGAACACTTGATTCTGTAATTCAGAGGCATAAAAGATATTCTTCGAGGCACATAATTTGTGCAATAAATTTTCCGGCATTGGTTCTTGAGTTTGAAAGTGCTTTGCAAATTTCGATACAACCTGAGATTATATAAATTAAAACATTCATTGTATATACCAATAAGTACAAACCGCGCGCGCGCGCGCGCGCGTGCACACACACACACACACACAATTTGAATAATATAATTTATTTCATACTATATTATTGAATATTTACCTTAGGATCACTCGCAAAATATTCCATTAATACACTAGGCACTTCTGCAAAATCTGTGCTGCATCTAGTACCAGTAACGTGCTGATATTTTGTTCGACCAAGCATAGAGTGTAATGCGTGTCCCATTTCATGAAATAAATTGTCCACAGATGATGGACTCAATAAACATGGATTTGACCAACGTGGGTGCGGCAGTGATAGCATGAGTACAACAATGGGAATCTGCAATTGACGTTATAAGATTATCATTTCTGTAATTATACTTATGAAAGTATACAAATATAAATGTATGAGAGAATAAAAGACATAAAAGGCAAAATTAATAACATCAGTGACAAAAAATAACAAATTTCACTATTAATAATATATAACAATTTTATATGTCAACAATGTTCTCAAGGCAATAATTTTTAGCAAGATTTCTACACATCACTCAGCCGTGTAACTGAAGTGAATAGATGATTTTATTTTGATGAGTTCCAAGACGTAATTAATTAAATATATTTGCTGAAGATGACTTAAAGGATAAAGTCGAAACGTACGTGGTATAGAAGATAAAAATCGTAATTTATTCGCAACCTAACATCCAGCGGTGGACTCCTATGGCCTTGAGAACATTGTTGATATTTTAAATATAAGGAGTTATTTACTAATGTGTTTATCTTAATATTAAATTAAGAATTTAGAGAATTTTATATGTATACGCACACACACACAATTTATACCTGATAAGAGCCATCTGAAAGTTGTTTTCCACCTTGGATCGTAAAGTGACAGTCTTGATTAGGTTTCCCTGTTCTTTCATAGAAATCACAGTAGATATAACCCAAAATTCCTTCCTCTTCATCTATTACAGCTAATTTATGAACATTATTCGCCCATACTTCTCCAGATAACACTGGGACAGATTCAAGCTTGACTCTGTACAAAGACTGCGTGAGAAAATTTAAACCCTCCATACAAGCACCAAGAGAGAAGTATGGAGCAAATTCAGTGGTAGAAGTATTTAACCAAGTTTTTTTCGCCTTTGCCATAAAATAGGGGGTATCCCATGGCATCAATTCCTGTTTAAAATAAAATAAAAATAATTTTACAATTCTATGAAATAGAAAATAGGAATTAATGTTATAAATGCCATTTGATATAATTACATAAATAGTGTAATCATAAATAAATGGTATTATAAATATAATATGACTATAAATGGAGACAAACTTGTTTTATATGTGACTCAACATTCTTCATTTTCTGCATCTCTTGAAAATCTTGCATCGCTTTAGGTTGCAAATTGTCACTTAATATATTGAGAAATTCCTTCACTACGACTGGCGATTTAACCGTACTCCCTTTTACAGCTCTATAACAATAAAATTTAAATTACTTATTAGTTATCGTTCAAAAAACAGTATCTTGAAATTACCTGTGTGCGTATGACATAAATCCGCAAGATTCCGCCAGTAAATGCCTGGAGTGCAAGAGTTCGTGTAATAAATGTTCTTGTTCCTTATCCGGGAATAAAAATAATTTGTATGCTGCTTCACGAACAGCAGTATTGGAAGAGTCTGTGTAAAATCCTTGTACTAATATCTGACCGTTCTCCGTAACAAAACTGTGAAACGTATCCGATATCAACGAGATAACTTTCTAAAGTTTACACCTTTAAAAAGTTTTAAACAAAACGATAGAATTTAGTCAAATGATGAAATAAATAATAGATTAAATTTCCACACTTACTACTGTCTAATAACGTCAGGTATTACATTGGCGTTAACTGTCCTCGGGGTAACAGTGCCAGCCATAAACTTTTGTCCTACCTAAAAAAATCCAAAGGAAATGCATATTTATAGATTTGACGATTAGAGATATTATTAAACAATATTTACTTGCAGAATATAATCATTTAGTTTCACTACTCTTCTTCTTTGTTCTTCAGGCAAGTGTATACCACATTGTTCAAAATCAAATAAGAATAATTTAGCTACATGATCGTCTATATCAGATGTTATTTGAGTATCACCATTACTTGTTACTTGCTTTAATGAATCATACAACTCACGATGTGTATTTAACCTGTAAAATATCCATAAAAATAATTGTGTTATTATGCATATTAATGATCAATAACATCCATTAAAATTATTGCATTATTATTATTTAGTAATTTACATATAGTATGAACCTTTTTTATTGAGAATTAAATAGATATATATTATAAAATATAAATTATAATAAAGATTTTGAAGAAAATTCTTAAATTATAACACAATTATATAATATAAAAAATATAATAATCAATATATATCTATATATATA